ACATAAGTCCATCTACGAATAAGGGCCCCTTAGTGAATAAACTCATTAGGGTCATGGGTTGTCCATTGATTTATCATAAAAAAATTGCCGAAAAAAAAAAAATTTATATATATATATGTAAATTATTCTAAAAGGTTTTCAAGTGTTTTAAAAAACAATTGGCAGATTTGTCTTTTTTTTATCATCATCAAACTAAGATCCAAATGTCTTATAAAACTAATCAATGGTTTATTGGTTTTATTGTTTTATTGATTTTTATTGCTTTTCTGATTTTTATTTTATTTTATTTTAAAATAAATTCACATTTTAATTTATTTTGTTAGTCGAGAAGTTAAAATTTTTGGTTATGATATAATTTTAACACCAAAATTTTAAATATTAGTATGGAGAGATGATTATAGGAAAACCCATTTACGCAAATCCATTTGAGCCATTTTTTAATAGAGAAATTTCAAAAAATGCCACTTTTCAAGTGCTACTTTATAAAAACGCCACACTTTTGAAATTTTTACAAAAATGCCACTTTTTAAAAATTATTTTTTCTTTATATTATTTACGTTTGGGTTAATTATATTCTATTAGGGTTTAGTTATGAGGGTTTAGGGGTCAAGATATAGAGTTTAAAAATCTATAATTAGTGGTATTTTTGCAAATGAACACCTCTAAGTAGCATTTTTGCAAATGTGCACATAAAAAGTGGTATTTTTGCAATTTTTCCTTTTTCATATTGTGTAAAGCCCATATTTAAGCTGATATTAATATTTAAAAATTACAAAAAGGATTGTGTACTAAAAGTCTCACATCTCAAGATTAATTGTGATCCGGATTTATATTATAAAAAAACCATAAGAACGAGAAATGGTAAAGGTAGGCGTCTTAATTTGAAAATTATATTTGGTTTAATTTAGTAATTATGTTGACCCGAATTAATAGACCAGAAAATAGGGGTGGGCAAACATGAATATGGGATGGAGTTTCCCATGAATGGGAACAAGATTTTTGGGACTAGAAAATGTCATATTTATGCTTCATTTAAAATTCGGGACGGAAACAGGATGGAAAGGGAACGGTACGAAAATTTCTATAAAATAACCGATTTTAAAATACGAAATTTAATAAAATGATATTGTAAATTTCAAATATATTTTTAACCTACTTATTTAATTCATTAAAAACATGTTCAACATTCAGAAAAAAACACTCAATTGTATTCTATAAATGTTTAAAGTC